TGCCCGCTCGTCAATACCAGCATCGCCGCCACCACCATCACCACCATCGTCGTCATCGCCACCATCACCATCATCACCATCAGCAGCACCATCATCGCCACCACAGCCATCATCATCATCATCATCATCATCATCATCATCATCATCATCATCATCACCAGCATCACCATCAACGTCATCACCATCACCACCGCCGCCATCATCAGCACCATCGTCGAGGGGGCGTTGACCGCCGTCGCTGCGCCCCTGCCGCACCAGGTCCTCCCACGAGAAGCACGTCTCGCTGCCGGAGCGCGTGGCCTTCCTCGAGAAGGAGATTGGCGACTCGGCCGACCGGCACCAGAGGACCCCCCCCTCGGCTGGCGGCTCCCGCCTCGGGGGCCACGCTCCTTCCGCCCCCCGCCCGCCCCCGACGTGCGCGCTTGCCTGCTGTTGCTTTTGCCGCTTCCCCTCTCCTCCTGCTTGGTCGTGTCTGCTCGTCGCGTCTTTCCCTCCTCTCCCTCCCTCCCTCCCTCTCTCCCTCCCTCCCGCCCTCCCTCCCTCCCTCCCTCCCTCGCCTTCCTCCTCCTCCTCCTCCTCCCTCCCTCCCTCCCTCCCTCCCTCGCCTTCCTCCTCCCCCTCCCTCCCTCCCTCCCTCTCCGGGCGGCACAGCCTGCCCAGAGCCGGCGCTGTGCCAGACAGCGGGGGGGGGGGGGCAGGCCCAGAGGCCTCCTCCCAGGTCGGCCCCCCCACGGCGCTCCCAGGATGCCGGGGGAGCGTAAGCCCCGGGTTTGCCAGGACTCGGGCTCGCCATCGTTTTTTGACGACCGCGCCTCGGATTTTGACGAGGAGGAGTTTCGTGGGATGTCTGCGGCGGGAGGCCTCGTCGAAATGCAGGCTCGGCCTCGTCGTTTTTTTGACGACCTCGTCGGGGATTTCCGAGTCCACTGTACCCAGGTCTTACGTCCCCCTGAGAATGGAGGAGCCACCATCTGCACCGGCAGCAGCTCTGGAAGGTCCGCGCGGATCTCTCGGATCGGCGTTGGTCGGGAGGGGAAGAAACACACGGGCACAACGAATCGTCCACTCCCAGGAAAATATAGGGGCAATGTGGGAAGTGAGAGGGAAGACAAACACCCAGAAAATATGGGAAAATGTGGGGAATCCTGTTATTTGTGTGTCTTTATGTGTGTGTCCCAGGGCCCCTTCAGTTGGACCCCCCTCCCTGGCGCGCGGAGCCCGCCGGGCGCGGCGCCGGAGATGCCGCCAAAGGGGGGCCCGCGACTCAGCACGGCGGGGAGAGTCTCGAGTTTGTTCGTGCGCTCGAGGCTCGAGCCAGATTCGGGCGCGCTCGCGGTTCTCGGCGGTCTCCCCGCCTCGCCTCGACCTGCTCTCTCGCGCAGCCGCGCCCCGCGGGGGGGCGCTCCGAGGGGCGCGCCCCGAGCGTCCCGAAGGGCCGACGGAGGCCCGAGCTGCGACCCGCGAAAACCACGGGGGGACGGATTCGGGGAGGGGCGCATCGGCCCCCCCAGTCGCCCTCGGAGCGCCGATCGGGGCTCGATGGCCCACGCCAGCTGCCTCCACGAGGCGCGCGGATTCGCTGTCGGGGGCCTATCGTGAAGTCGGGCGTGTCCCCCTACAGGGGGGTTTTCGACGAAACATACAGAATACCCCAAGAATGATCCAAAAATACTCCAAAAATAGTCTGGGGACTATTTGTTGTTTAGTATCTTTTGAACACTTTAGAGTATGTTGGGGGTCTTTTCAATTTTTCGTCGACAATCCCCCTGAAGGGGAACAGGCCCGACTTACGTAACCCTATCGCCGCTCTATCGGCGATGCATCGCCGATTCCAGGTCCACGTTTCCTCCCCTGCGCCAGTCCCCCCCCCCTAACGCTCCCCACTCACTGGAGACCTCGCGCGGCCTTGTGGGGCGCCCTCGTCCTCGCCGCCGCGGCCCGATGCGTCTCGAGAGACCTGGCCAGAGCGCGCCCAGGGCGAGGAGCGGGTGGGGGTCGCGACATTGCTGGGCCTTGGGCCTCCCGCGGCCCGTGGGGGATCGCGGCGGCTGCGTTCCTCCTGAGCACGGGCCTCTGCTCAGGACAGCTTCGGGCCGTGGGGCGGCCATGAGAGAATGCCCGCCCGCGACGGGCCCAAGGGATCGGAGCGAGCTTGCCGAGGGCCCAGGGCGGTCGAATTCCTCCTCGTGCCCTCTTCCTCATCCTGCTCCTTCGCCTCCGCCTCGTGGTAATCGTCATCGCTTCTTCCTCCGCTGTCGCATCCTCCGCCTCCCTCCTCCTCCTCCTCCTCCTCCTCCTCCTCCTCCTCCTCCTCCTCCTCCTCCTCCTCCTCTCCTCCTCCTCCTCCTCCTCCTCCTCTCCTCCTCCGCCCCCTCCTCCTCCCCTTCCCCCTCCTCCCCTTCCCTCCCCTCCTTCCCCTCCTCCCCCTTCTCCTCCTTTTCTCTCTCCTCCTCCTCCTCCTCCTCCTCCTCCTCCTCCTCAGAAGCAGCATCATCATCAGCAGCAGCATCCGCATCCGCATCCGCATCCGCATCCGCATCCTCCTCTGGGTCATCCATCCGCCCTCCCCCTCCTCTTCGTCATCATCTGGTTCCTCATCCAGAGAAGGGGGAGAAGGAGGAGGAGGAGGAGGAGGAGGAGGAGGAGGAGGAGGAGGAGGAGAGGGAGGAGGAGGAGCTCCGTAGCCATTGTGGCTCAAATGGCGCCGCCCATCGGCTTTCCCCCACTTTCTGCATACTGGAGTCAGTCATTTCACGTAAGTGGTGAGTCGATGCCTCGCACAGGCATTGCAGTGCGCCACGGCCATGTCGTGGCTCATGTGCGCACGATCGAGGAGGCCTCCGAGCTCATGGCGAAGCTGACCAGCCAGGAGACAAAGCAGGTGGAGCATCTTCCCAGTGTCCAGGCGGTGCCCATCCAGTGCCTGAGCAGTGTTGCGCAGCAGATTCTCGTCGCGGCCGCAGAGGCGACGGCCATGCTCGGGGAGGAAACGATTGCCAAGGGTTTCAAGCAGCACCGTCTCCAAGGATGTCGCTAACCAACTCATCTAGAACGAGATGTTCGTATGCTGGACGGGGCAGGGGCGCTCCTTCGACACCAGGGCTCCGCGCTCGAAGTCCTCGACCGCCTCGCTGCTTGGCTCCAAGGCGGTGCCAACCCCTCCCAAAAGCACGCCTGTACAGAGTTTTTCGATTTGGCGGAGGACGACAAGTCGGACCAGGCCCTGAAAGAGTGGTCCCAGGACGTGTCTTCTGCCAAAGAAGGTCCCGCCGACGGCTTCCTTGCAAGCACGAGTGGGGACGTGGGCATCTCCGACGTCCCTCTGCATGAAGAACGTGCAGAGGCACATCTGGACCATATGGCTGTCATCTCACTGGGTGTTTAGAATTCTCTCGGTGCAGAGATGATGCGGCTCCAGAAATATGCGCAGGCCATCCAGTCCCACACCTCGGAGCTTACCACTCGCTTGGAAGCGATGGAGGCCACGGCGGCGGACACCAGCATTGCGCATGCCCGCGACCTCGACATCATCCTCAGAACGGCTCGTAGGCTCGAGCAGGGCCAGCAGGACCACGCTGCCAAGTTTGAGTGGGCAGAGGCGAAGATCGATGCCCTGTGCGACACCGTCTTGCTTAACAAGGAAGTGGACCAGGGCGTCAGCCAGGCCAGGGGAACTGGATCTTCTGACAGCGGGAGCGAGTATTGGCGCAGGCCGCTTGATGGCAGAATTCAGCCTCAGCCGATCGCCGAATCGCACCCGCCATCGAGACAGGTGTACTGCACGATGTGCGGGGCCGGCCTGAAAGTTCGGTTGAGGCTGAATATGCAACAGTTGGAGCAGGTTCGGCGTGCTGAGTGCGATCCACGGTTTCGACACATGAGAGCCACACGAGTTCAGCATATGCACACTCTGTTCCTGTTTTGTCTACGTCCGCCTTCCTGTTTCATTCGCCCCCCCCCCTTCATTATTAATCCCCCCTCCCCTCACCCACCCCCCGCCCCTCCATCAGGCACGATCGCTGCGCTGCAGAAGAGTAGGGTCTCGAGGATTGGGGCTTGGGTTTGGACGGAGAGCTGGGGGCTACTGCGGAGAGGCACGAAGATGCCCGTGCAGTTGCCGCACGTAGCTGTCACACCCACACGTTTTCGCCACGTAGCTGTCACGCCAGCAGTTTCAGGTAGCTGTCACACCCACACGTTTTTCGCCACGTTCCTCCTCCTCCTCCCTCCCCAGACGCAGAATGCAAGAGCAGGCTAGTTCTCACAGCCTGCCAAGTTCTCAAGGAGAAGGTACTTGAGGGAGCAGAGAAGGAGGGAGGAGGATCGAGGCACCGCCCAAGGAGGCGGGCCTCGTGGAACGAGGCGCCCAGGGAGGCGGGCCCCGTCTGCGGCAGGGCACAGCGGCTCGCCCATCCATATGTTCGTTCATCCTTTTGCATTGCGTGAGCTTTGAACTCACTAGTGAACCAGTAAGCAGGAAGAGCAGGAGGAGGGGGAGGGGGAGAAGGAGGAGGAGGAGGGCGACGGAGACGAAGGAGAAGAAGGAGAAGAAGGAAAGAGAGAGCGAGAAGGAGCAGAGGAGGGGGGGGAGGAAAAGGAGGAGGAGGAGGAGGACGAGGAGGAGGAGGAATGAGATATGAGGAGGAGGAGGAGGAGGAGGAAGGAAGAAGAAGAAGAAGGAAAAGAAGAAGAAGCACGAAAAAGAAGAAGAAGCAGAGGGAGGGGGGAGGAGGAGGAGGAGCGGTAGGAGCAGAGGAGAGGGCCCTTCATGCCACACACCACGCGCTCTGGAGCCGCGCCTGAGGAGGAGGAGCAGAGGAGGCCCTTCATGCCACCAGCCCGCGCCTGAGGAGGAGGAGGAGGAGGAGGTGGAGGAGGAGGAGGAGCACGAGCAGGTGCACGAGCACGAGCACGAGCACGAGCACGAGCACGAGCACGAGCACGAGCACGAGCACGAGCAGGAGCAGGAGCAGGAGCTGATGGGCCGGGACGGCGGACAGGACACTGCAGGACCTGCAGAGAC